TAATTTAGGTAATTCTATCGGCAATTTTTATTGTCACGAACATCAAGCTTTTAACAATTGGTGTCAGAAGTGGGATAAAATCATGCCGATTTTACCAAAGGAGGAATCGGAGGGTGTCCGTACCCGAAGTCAACGCCAGAAGGAGACGGACTAGAGGAGATTTGGTGGTGCAACGCCGCAGACGTCTGAGGGCCAACGGCCAGCCACGGAGGCTGCGGGCCCGTCAGTAGCTCCTACACCTGCAGCACCTGACTTAGGTGCTCTGATGGCGATGCTACAGGAGCAGCTGCAGCGCGGACGAGAGGAACAGGCCCGTCTGTTGAAAGAGCAGCAGGAAGAACAGGCCCGCCGACAGGAGGAACAGGCCCGTCGTTTAGAAGAGCAACTCCAACGCGATAAGGAAGAGCAGATGCTCCTCATGAAGGACCTTCACGCTATCTTCGGAAAAGAGATACGGGAGGTGAAGGATAAGGTTGCTCAACATGACAACCGCCTGTCGGAAGCTGAAACCCGAATCAACCAAGTAAACAATCGGGTTGACAACGTAATGGCTGACGTGAAGAAAACGCTGGACGACCTCAAACTTGGGGATGGAACAACAGCTCCCGTAGTAGCTACAACACCTTCGCTACGTGGATTCAAAGTGCCGCCGTTCAACGGGACCTCTTCCTGGTCGGCCTACAAAATCCAGTTCGAGGCCGTCATGGAGGCGAACGGCTGGAATAAAAGCCAGGCCATGACTGCACTCACCTTAGGCCTGCGCGACCAAGCCTTAACCATGTTGGAAGCTCTCGGTAAGAAAGTGACCTACGAGCAGGTCCTTGAGGCATTGGAGGCGAGATATGGTGACGCTCACCTGGAACACGTCTTTCGCGCGCAGCTTAAAGATCGCGTGCAACGCAGCAACGAAAACCTGCAGCAGTGGGCCCTTGAGGTGGAGAAGATGGTTCGAAAAGCATACCGGTCTGTACCTGCGCTCATTGAAGGGAACCTGGTGCAGACATTCATCGACGGCATCCGCGACCTGGAAGTCAGAGCTGCTGTGAGGCTCGGGCACTACGAGACGCTTAAGGACGCCTTGGCCCATGCACTGGAAGTGGAAGCCGTGCGGCAGGATCATCGTTCCCATCGCGTCAGTGAGGTTGCAGCAGCTACAGTTCGCGACCGCAACAAAGGATACAGCCCTAGGTGCTATGGCTGTGGGGAAAGGGGCCATCTTCGATCCAGCTGCCCTAAGCGAACCGCAGAAAGGGAAAGTGAACGATATCAGGAGGGTAGTGCAGCTAACGGCACTGCCTGGCGGCGACAGGATCATCGTTCACATCACGCTGGGGAGGTTACAGCAGTTACGGTTCGCGACCACAATAAAAGATACAGCCCTAGGTGCTATGGCTGTGGGGAAAGGGGCCATCTTCGGTCCAGCTGCCCCAAGCACACCCTAGGAAGGGAAGGTGAACGGTGTCAGAAAGGAAGTGCGGCTTACAGCACCGCCCAGCAGCAGCAGGAATACGACTTTACTATCAGACACTGCAGCGGGAAATCTCACGGCAACGCAGATGCATTGTCAAGAAGACCTTGTCTTGAAGATTGCAACCATTATAGTAGGCAAAAGAGTAAGGAAGTGGTATCCGTGAGGATGCTCAGGACAGACCATCTCAAGTGGTGGAAGGTGGAAGGACAGCCTACGACATGCACAGCAGGAAGATCCGGACATCAAGCCGATTCTGGGATGGATGAAGGCCCGTGCTACCAAGCCTAAGTGGAGGGACGTCTCAGCGATGAGTTCAACCACGAAAAGCTATTGGGCCCAATGGGACAGCTTGCTGCTTCAGGATGGAGTCCTGTGCCGTAAATGGGACAATGGTCGAGGAGACAGCTGTCGTTTGCAAATGGTTGTCCCTAAAGCTAAAGTGCCGAATGTTCTACAGCTGTGCCATAATGGTCGTTCAAGAGTCCATCTGGGAGTTAAACGAACTCTGCTGAAGGTCCGAGAACAGTTTTACTGGGTCCATTATCGTGACGATGTCGAGGCTTGGTGTCATACATGTACAAGTTGTGCGGCCGTGAGGGGACCTCAGACACGTAGTAGAGGAGCACCGAAATTGTACAATGTTGGTGCACCATGGGATAGGACAGCCCTAGACATTGCGGAGCCGATACAGAAAGGCGCAAGAGGGACTCCTAAGATCGTCCATGTGGATCGCCTAGCACGTTATTATGGGGCCGATAATGCTCGGGACGAGCATGTCTTAGGAGGGGGCAGTGTTACGCGCTCCAGTCGACGGCACTAGCGCCATCTAGTCTCGAACCGAAGAACTAAACTTCTTGAAGTTTAAAACTCGAACTCTCGGTACCTTGCGCGTGTTTACTTGAACATTCTGGATATTTCTTTGCTAATTTATATAGATAGGCGCTGAAAGATGCGATCGAGGCAGTGTTGATTTGGCGAGACAAGCGAAGCTTCGGAGCAGAATAAAGTGAATTAGTGTGTTTAATTATTAGTGTATTTAACTTTAATTTGTGTAAAGTAAATTAAAGTGTTAATTTAGGTAATTCTATCGGCAATTTTTATTGTCACGAACCTCAAGCTCGTAACAATAATATACCAAATTCAAGTCTTATTTATGATAATTAAAAATATAAAAACTGATTAAAAACTCGTACTAGTTTTCTTTTTTTTTTCAATTATTTTTCAAACCCCTTCGAATTTATCATGTTTTTGGGAAGATTTTTTGAACATGCAATTTAAATTGTTGTTATTTAAAAAATAAACCTATAAATGAATAAATCCAAGAACATTATCCATAATTTAAGAATATAAAAAAACAATAATATATTTATTCATTTATATAATTTTCTGTAATAAATAAATCCGGGTGTTTTTACACCCATTGTAGTCTTAGCAGTATACAAATTCATTGTAGTCTTTAAGGGTTAAAGTTGTTATTAATGCTAAGAAAGCCTACAAATTGCCACAGTGAACGGTGTAATCAACCTATGTCAAATTAAGTTGCTTTAGTTATTTTTAGACAGCAATTTTCTAAGCGGGATATTGTAATTGAGAGCCATGGTAACACATTGTGTCGAATAAGTGAAATCCATCGCTCATACGATGCATTACAGTACCCAGTTTGGTTTTGCTACGACGAGGATGGACACTCCATTTCTATATTTCAGTGCAATCCTAAGACCAAACAACAGCTTAAAAAATGGTATATGCTACAAGTATTTATTCTTACCGTATAATGATTAGAAAATGAAAAAATAATCATCATATATATTTTCGTTCGATGTTTAGCCAGTTTTTAGTTGAAATGTTTGCAAAAATCAAGGGATAGGTTGAGTTATATAAGAAACAATCAGGAGTATTTTAGAACGGACAGTTATTATACACTTGCAAAATGCAATAAGAGGAGGAGAAGACAGGACGTTGATGCTGATCATGTGGATTAGAACTTGTTGTTGCCTTCTTCTTTTACTGACACTTTACACAAGACGCCATGACATATGTGCGATACTACGCTCGTCCCGATCTCTTTACAATATTTACTTGCAATTCGAGATGGGATGAAATCACGGTACTAATGCTTTTACCTGGGAAAAATTATGATAGACACCGCATAATAGCCCGGGGTTTTCACCTCAAATTTAAGTAAATAATGGCACTTCTATCCAAAGTAAAAATATTTGGAGTGGTACGTTGTTTCATGTTCTCTACCGGATGGCAGAAATGGGGTCTGCCTCACATATGGTCACCTGGGCTAAGTGTGATATAAATTAAAACTATAATCGACATTTAAATACTTCTACTTTGTAAGGATTTTACATAGAGAAAAGTTCACATCAAAAAGTGGTGTCATATCTACAGTAACACACGGGTCTGAAGACTATCACACTTACCCAACAAGGGGCAAGTGTGACAGTACTTTCTTTATTTTAACTACATTATTATTATCTGTGGTTTTCGACCAAATTGATGAGATGATACTAACGTCGATATATATATGTCCATTTTTGTGTAACGATGAACTTTTCCCATCATGGGGCAAGTGTGAGTGTTTTAACCGATATAGTGATGTGCCGAGATAGATTTACTACACTAGCTCTGAATGTTTCGTAAGTATAATAAAGACAATGCCAAGTGCAAAATTAAATTGAATTCAGAAACTTTAACAATTTATAAGGTTAAGGTATAAGGTTTTTATTCCTACTGAAGCAGCCTTATTTTTTATAAACTGGTTTATGTCTAACCAACCCTTCCACATAGTTAGACTCTCGTCCAAAGCTACATTTTGGGACGTGTTTTATATTTGTGGAAGTCTGGAATTAAGATGGTCTAGTGCGGGTTTAATTTTAAAAAATTTGGTCTCAGAACGCGTCATCAATTCCGGGTTACAACTATCATTGTCTTGGAAATGGAGACATTTGCTCAACAGCACAAAACGATCATATTTCATCGACGCCGAGAACCCGGGTGTACTGAAAATTTCCTCAGTCTTATTCCAGTACTCCTCGAGACGTGATTTGACTACAATTCCAGTGGCCAGAATTATAGCCAAATACACGTATAGTTCATCGACGTCGGTGGGCTGTTGGGGCGTATGGAGCCTTCCTCCAGCATGTATGTTGCCAGCTGTTGAGCATATTTATTTGTTTCACTAGCTATGTATTCCATTATTTTACGATCCCAAATGTCAGTAAATGCTTCATATGGGGTCGCTAATGAAACAGTGGGACCACAATTACTGTCGGAGAAAGGTTCTCTTCTCAATTCATGTGGAACTTGAGGATACGAGAACGCTCTCCAGTTGAACACAAATTTTGATGACGGTTGTAACTCAGTTGTGGGTTCCGGCTCGGTTGTGGGTTGTGGCTCGGTTGTGGGCTCAGGATTGGTTGTGGGTTCGGGATCGGGGATATTAAAAATCGGTAGTACGGCCTCGAACTGCTGTGGCTGCTGCGACTGAGGTGGCCATTGATACCACGGTATCGCATCAGTTTTAACCAAATCGTCGTCCTCGTCTTGAAAATAAAATCGTGCAGCTCTCGGCACCATTGGCACTGGCAGTGGTAAAGTCATCGTTCTCCCCCTCGTGCTCGGAGTCCTCTTCACCGCCTGAACAAAAACATCTTAATTACTACATCATTAAAATTATTGAAAGAATTCCGTCACAACATGTAATACTAAAAAATGCAGGTACCATAGTTTAGTATTGTGCTTATATCATCATCCCTAAGAGGATGTCTTGGGCGATGGGATGACAAAGATGAAATTCTGCAAAAATATATAGATCAAATCTTAAAATTCAGATCAATTTGATCTTAATACGTATTTATTTTTGCATGTACTCATGAGCACCGCCGCTTTTGTGATCCAGCAGGGAGGTCCTCAATATCTCTGAATATATAAATAGTAAAGTCAATAAAAATAATGTTAATACGTTAAGCCCATATAGTAGCCCATTTGCTTTTAGTTTATGTCAATTTTAGTTTTTTTTTACTAATACTACTTCTAAAATTAGAATACTAAATCTAACCTGGGTCGTTTTGCTGCACCGATTACGATTGAATGTGGCGTAGAGGCCCCGCTACTACCACATTCAATGTGCCTGCAATTGTTTTCATGTTTAATTTAGTTTAACAGAAAATTTTTATGTAAAATAAATACATTAAATTGTCAAGTGTGGCAGGCGTAGGGGGGCTCTCAGGCAGTGTGATTGGTTCTGAAGCTGGGCCGCATGTCATTACCTCCAGAGACGACCACAAACGTTGTATTCTAAAAACCAAATTATTATCACATGTCGACGCATTATTTTCTACATACATTAATAAACGGACATAATGCGTAATATTTCCCTTCGATGTCGATGCTCTTGGTTCAGGAAGAATTAGTGGTTGTTTAGAGGTGATGGCTCTCTCCAGAGCCTGAGTCTCTGATATCATCGAAGGTGCCACTGAATATCCTAAAATATAATTTTCAGCATTATATTATATTATAATATATATATATATATATATATACAAATTGTATAAAATTATTTTGTGCTATAAAATGTGCTATTACGAGTCAAAGAAGGCATTTGTAAGCCCCACACCTCCCCAGGCCGCCCACCATGCGTACGTGGACCAGAGACCCTGCGTGGCGCCTCTTCTCTGTCCGCTTCTTTTTGTTGATCTTATACAACACACTGATCTTATATAACACTAAACGGAAATAGCATTAAAAATTCCAAGCAGAAATAAAAAAAATTCATGAAAATAAAATATGAGCTGACATAACTTTTCAAAAATATTATGAAAAATTATAAACCAATAGTACTTCAACACAAAAACCAACAACCAACTTTAATTTCATACCATTGGGCGAAGAATATTTTTTCAATAATAATAATAAATACAATATAAAAGTAAAATCGGATAACAACCATGTAAAAAATCTGTCGAATTGAGACTCTCCTACTTCTTTGCGAAGTCGGTTGAAAAATTCTATTGTATCTGTCAAACAATGTCTGTGGTGAGGCCGATTCCCGGTTTTAAGTATTAGCACATGTTTCTAAGCTAAATTCATTAATTGGGCGACTAGTGCATGATATTAAATTAATGTGTTAGACGTGTTTTAATAAAAATAAAACCAAATAAAAATCATGCTCATAGTTCGACACAGAGTAGGTTTGAAAAAAAGGCCGAAAATTACAAAAAACTAAGGTACACCTTAAATATTATTTAGAAAAATTTAACACAACTTACCTTTCCATCGTATTTCCTTCTTTATCAACCTAATTAACAGCTGTTTACCTTCTATAACACAACTAAACAAGGTGGTTAGACGAACTTCTTCCCATAATATTTGACTTTTGCATGACGTAATCCGGCAAATACGCGGTCCAATAGCTAACATGTTTAAGCATTATGCTTTCGTTATGAGTTAAAAAGAGAAGAAAGATATATGCGATAACCCTTAATATAAGAAAGACGAAGGACTAGTTATTGGATCCGGCTCCCGGTCGCTTCACAGAGGCGCAAATTCTGTCACTAACCGGGACCTGGTCGCCTCACAGACGAGAGGATCATTTTTTGATTTATGTTAAACAGATTATTTTGCTAAAACCCTTCTATATGCGGAAGTACCTTCATATTTTTTAAGGAAAAAATTAATTTGTGAGAAGTAAAAGAGGAAAACCCATAGATGGCTGGCCAGGAATAATGAAAGAACACGCTCTAGATAGAGTGTACACGGTTCATCCGAGACACAGAGTGTTAGCATCTTCGCTTACTTCTGCACGAGGTTAGGGGTCCATCATCCTTCAAGACTGTCAATGGTATCCTCCAACCAACTTTTCAATTAGCTTGCATGAAATTTGGATTGCTAGAGGACTACAAATATTGGGATTCTGTCCTAGAGAAAACAACCTTATGCGAGTGGCCATTTAAAATGCGTGAATTTTTTTCTATAATGTTGGCATTTTGTCAGATTACAGACGTACTAAGTCTTTAGGTAAAATTCCGGGACGTCTATTAGAAGATTACAAACGACAAGTGGAAAGGTTTTCTGGCATTATAGATGAACGTCTAGCAGAAGAAATCTATAGTAAATGTCTGGTCACTATAGGAGAAGCATTGTAATGTTGTGACACGAGAGAGAAATGAAAGCCAAGACTGCAAGACTGCTGAGTAATTACTGAATATATTTGCAATAATCAATCCTTAAATAGTTACAATTAGATTACATTGTGTATATGTTTATATGTAATATGCTTATATCTATTCCTTACATCTCATCTCCACCGCAATACAAAAAAATAAAATAAATGTACTAACAATTTATTTTATTTTCGCTTATAAAACAAGGTATGTCAATACAATGAGTCGATCATAATTATTAAATTATATTTTATAAACATTTTTTATAGATAAATAGATTATAATGTTCTACCATATTGTAGTCAAGTAGGTAATACAAAACTTAAAACAAAATTCCTAATAATAGTTACGTAATTGGTTTAAAATACATTTTTGTTCTATTCTTATGTAGAATATAATTCTTATTATCTTTAATGATCTCGACATTAGGTGAACATTCTCTTACTACTTTGTACGGACCTGAATATATACTTTGGAACTTATTGCCAGTTTTATTCTTTATTACAATCAAATCATTCGGCTTTTACGTCACGGGGTTAATGTTACGATCATACTTTGCTTTTCTTTTTAATTTACTAGCTATTAAATTATCTCGTGCTTCTTTTTGTGACGTCTGTATTCTAAATTTTAATAGACTGCGGTAGACTGCAACTGGTTAATATGTAAAAGTTTACAAACCTCTTTCATTGTATTTGACAAGAACTCCGTTCCCCTGTCTGTTGCTATCTCTTTTGGGATACCATATCTAAGAATCCAATTATTTACAAAACTTCTGGCTACTTCAGTTGAACTTTTTGACATCAATGGATAAGCTTCAACATATTTGCTCAACTCACATTGTATAGTTAAAATGTATACATAATTATAGTAATCTCTATCTAACGGCCCTACTATGTCTAAATATATTTTTTCAAACGCTGAATTTGCCGTTGAACTAATAGTCATAGGCTCTTTAGTATGGTGTGACGAATGTTTTTGTTTTTGACATTGGTCACACCTTTTTACAAACTCAATAACATCAACCTCTAATTTTGGCCAAAAATAATATTTCTTTATGTTACTAACCATTTGTCTTATACCTGCATGGCCACTTGTGGGCAAAATATGAAAATCATTTAAGATTACACGTTGATCATCTTTATTAGTTATCCTCTTTGTACCGCTTAAAATACATATAACGTGGTCCGGACCAATTACTTACGTTCTTAACTTCTTTAACTAATTTTTCCACAAATATATATTTTTTTCTCGGTCTTAATGAAGTATACTTCTTTTATCTTATTTTTCCACAAAATATATTCAGCTCTCTCACAAATTCGCCTGGCGATAGTTGCGATCGAGAAGGTAAATTAATAAAAATAGTATTTATTGAAGGTACATAACTAAAACATCCCTTCTCTTGTGCTATCCCTTTCAAGTTACGATATCGATTTTATTCATAAGCGCTTATGAAACGTAATTCCGTGAAATATTTCGGTTTGCTATATATTTCAATGACTTTTGGTTGATCAGGCCAATCGTCTCCAGAAATAACAGCATCCCGTTGTTGCCTAGCCACCTGGCCACGCGTCATTACATTCATCACAGTTTGATTCATCTCTTTCAATTCTTCCGAAGTTATATGCAAACGAGAAAGTGCATCAGCAGCAGAATTATTTTTCCCTTTTAAATATTCAAGTACAAAATCATATTCTTCTAATGTTAGTCTAAAGGAGATGTTCCATAAATGTATGGAGCCTGGGCCAGCACTATGTACACTATATGTGAATATTGCTGTATAATATAGTAACCGTTTTTTATTGTTAGTTTTCTTTAATTTCACTGCGTTTCATTGTACATTCAAATTAACTTGGTCAAGGAGAGCAACACAACATAAAATTAAACATGGTGGATCCAGGTGGATCGGAACAGCAGTACGCGAAAAATGTCATATTGACAGTGACATTTGATTGACGTGTATAGTAATTCGTAATATCTGCAATAAAAAAAAACAACACGAATTTCAAAAATCTGGGATTTCGATAAAATAAGACTACAGGATATTCTTCTCGATTGCGGCACCACATTTTATATCACCTATTCGAGTAGTTACAGATTGGTTATATCGGTGTCAAGAGGAGCAAGAAACGAAACAAAGGCTTGAACGTTATTTTATTTACAACACTTTCCTGCTGCTTCGTTTAGTTTTTTACTTTAGTGCCTATAAATATACTCTGTACTTCAATAATTCATAGGAGAGCAGTTAGCTGTACAGTACCTGATGACTGCAAGTTATAGTTAAAGTAGATAACTATACCTATTACACAGTAACAGATGGGAAGAAATCAACTATTCTTATCCAATTAGGTAGCAGCAGCATAATCAGCCTATAATGTTTCTACCGCTGAGACATATAACTACTTTCTGTGAGAGTGGACTGTAATCCAACATGCGGGCCCAGTGCCCAATTAAACACTAACAATTTTTCAAACAAGTTCTATGTTATATGATTCCTAGTATTAGAGACATTAATAGCATGAGAAATAAGTCATGAGGTATACAAATAAAACAACTTGTTGAGACTTTTAATTTTATTAATTTTCTACATCATCCATTATTAATATTCCATCCAGGAATGACGCCGGTGCTTCTATGCTCTCTTGGTACCGAGCCCAACCCAAATACCACACAATGGTCATAATGTGAGCACAGCAACCCACTGTTCGTTGTCCGGAGATACAACTACAATAATAGCTAATTATTTTATCATCCCAACTTGATCCTTCCTTTGACAGCAAAATATATGTATAATATGTTCGTCCTGAGCTATGTCGAGATTTTATACGGCCTCTGATTAAAAGAGGATCAAGTTGGGATGGGGTTGCTTCTGCTACTACTTCCAGTTGGTCAGATACTTCTACCTGAAATGATCCATGCTGCCTAATATGTTCCCCGAAATAGCTTCTAGCCTGTTTTATTTGATAGGTACCCAGCCCAAAAAGTATCAAGTCAGACATAGTCATTTCAGGGAAAATACTTAACTCTGGAAGTTGACCATCAATTCTTGTGAATTGGGCTCTAAAGCGGTTGATCCGGTTAGCAATTATAAGTTCTGCTAACCGGTTGGGCATATTTTTTCTCTGTATTGCTCGAGTAAGTATAGCATCAGCATCTGGTCTATTTTCAATCACTGGATGGAATGCATTAATTATAGCTGCACAAATACGAACATCGTCCATCAAATGGGTGGCAGCCAAATTAAAATATTCGTGTCTCAATAGCTTAAAGTCTCTTTTAAATCGGCCATTAACTACTTCTACCACCCATCTGCATAGTGTCACACATCTTGTCTTGTTTGCACTGATGGTTGATAACTGAGTCTCTCCTTGTTCTAATGACTCCGGTTTAAATACTTTGAAGCCCAACCCCTCTAGCATTGGAATGGAATCACGAAAGCCTCGATCCAAAATGAAAACATCATTGGGCTGAAAAAAAGCCCTTAGACCCTCATTTTCATTTTGGAACAAAGCTTTCATGATGTCAGCATCTGATTTGGTTGCTGGATAGGGCCCCAAAATATCAATAATATAACCATCAGTGGCAACAATGAGAAAAGGTTTAACAAGGTTTCTATATTTGTGCAAGCTATAAGTTTTTTTTTGGAACATATAGTTGGATGATTTTTGAAGGTATATATAGGTACCATCAAATATTATTATTGGTACTCTTGCCTCTCTGTTTCCAAACAAACCCTCGGGTATTAATAAATTCCTATTTATTAAATCATTTCTTGTATGATTGATTCCTAAGTGGAGAGGCACAAATAACCTTAGCAATGCCTCTTTAGCTACTCTAAGCAATCGTGTTATTGAGGACTTGGTCAGATGAAACAGAGAGGCAATCCTTTCATGGGAGTCCCCTGTACGAGCTTTCACCAAATAGATTCCCAAAGCAATTTTTTGGTTTTTGCAAGTCAATGCTGGGCTTATTACATTTAAAATATTTATAAAATTGTCTTTTGTAATTCCAGTCCAGAACTTAAAGAGTCCCTCATCAATACTACTCATATTATTAAAATCTAGTTGATTTATTTCATTGTCCTGGATACTCAGCTTCAGCATTGACTCTATTTCATTTTTTGTAAATGTATTTGAGAACTGATGCTGGTCCAGAAACTCCCAGTTGTATAAACATTTATGTTCATTACATACTCTTGCATTTTCTGTCACAAATATTTTTTTCCGATTTTAATATAATTCTTCTTAAGTATTCCGGCACTCTATTTCGTTCTACATTGTTACAGGCCGGCACAAAACAATGAGTACTTGTCTGTGTTGTGTGTGTAAAACCATCAAGTGTTATTGATGCACTTGGTGGCTGGATATCAAATTGCACAACTTCTTGCTCCATTTCTATATTTTCGTGTGCACGTGTCCAGCAGTTGGAACAAAGTAGCGCATGTTCTGGTAACTGAAACAATACAAGAAACAATTTACTTACAGGAGCAACAGAAAGGGTTACTTACAGTTAAATGCAAAGTTACATTACTTGTGTATGGTGGTTTAGTAAATTAAAATAATTTTACCTCATTGGGGTAAATTCTTGCTGCAACTTCATCTCTCACAGGACCACTAGCCACATGTGTTCGCCTTCGGTGTAGCGACATTCTACACCATGCACACATAGAGTCTTGGTGAAGATTAGATGGGCCTTGCCGGTTATCCTCAACCCTTGTAGCATGCTCCACATTTCTACGTGCTGCTACCCAACAAGCATAGCAAACCAGTCCTCCTGGTGGAATCTGAATTAAACAAAAAGAAAACAATATGTATTGACTATTAACCCAATTATTTAATTCCAACAGTAGGTAATTAAGTAAGTTGTTAATGTTACCTCTCTTGGATATATCGTTTGTGTTATTATGGTCCGTTCAGGTCCTTCAGGTATGGAGTGGCTGCGTGTTTGGGCAAGAGACCGTCGGCACCATACACATGCATTCATATTCATAACAGCAGGAGCTGCTATGATTCCTTGTTGTTGTATTGTACGCCGAGTATGTACCCAACAAGCAAAACATATTAAACCACCCTCGGGTATCTAAAACAAAAAATATGAAATTAATATTTATTAATTTAAATCAAAACATTTCTAAATAATTTAAATCACAACATTTCTAAATCATTTTAATAAATCAATATTTAGTTATTTTAACATCACCTTCACAGACTCAACCAAGGTGATGTTATAAGTTACATATCTACACACATTTCCAAAAATTAAATTGTGACTGTTCTGTTTCTTCCTGCAATAATATTGTCTTAGACCATAATTAAGGAACATCTGCATTTGACTGCCTGTATGAATAAAAAAGAAAACAAAAGAGGTGCTTACCTCTCTTGGAGCAATTGTTTCAGCAATATATTGCCTTTCGGCACCCTCGGGAATAGAGTGTGCACGCCTCTTAAACAAAGATGTCCTACACCTAACACAAACATTGCTATCATGGCAATGTTGGAGTTCGTGATCTCCATGTGCCAGACCATTAGATACCTCTTGCATTATGATGCCAAAGCATTGTGAGCACATCACTTCATTTCCATCAACCTAAAACAAAACAAAACAAAAAAGAGGTTATACAGTGTTTAAAAATATGTTACAGTAAATAGATAAATAAAATGTTTTTTACCAGATGGCCAAGATACCGCTCGATGACCGAAATTATTTCAGGACCCATATCATCGGTAGCATAATATTGTTCATTTTCATCTATTACAGAAGTGCACTGGAGGCATGCCATTGTCAATAAACTGAAATAAGTATGAGTTAAAATCTATTAGAATATGGAACAAAGGAAGAAATCATCACATAGAAATAGCATTTGAACAAAACAAGTAAATGCACGGGTAGCGGACATACCTGAAACTGAACTTGTTATTGTAAAATAACACGACGGAATCCAAATCACAGGCGAATCAGAAACCATATAACAAAGCCGGGGTCAACAGAGAAGCAATCAAATCAATGTCCGTAATAGTAAACTGGGTCGTAAAACAAAAACAATCACTAAAAACTCCGAAACACATCCAATTCAAACCCAAAGCAAAGCAATACTCAAAGACGTCACTTCTTAAAACTGTCAAAGTCGTCAAACGTCATAAAACACAACTGTCATGGCTGCCCTCGAAATAGGGTTATCCTATAAAAAAACTTTTCAAATGATCATTTTGTACGCCTGTACCCTTCTTCAAATTAATTTGTAAGTATTTTTATGAAATTACTCAATTTTTTTCCTATTTATCTATGTAGTGTACATAGTGGTAGCCCAAAATCAAACATCTCCTTTAATATAACGGCTAGATGGATCTCGCATTCCGAATAGATAAAATGGCTTATGATCAGTCTGAATTTTGAATCTCCTTCCATACAAGTATGACCGAAAATGTTTTACGGCCCACACAATCGCAAGTAATTTTTTTTTCAATCGTCGGGTACCTTTTTTCTGCCTTATTGAGACTACGACTAGCATAGGCTACAGGCCTTCCGTCGCTATTGCACAAAACTGCCCCTACGCCGTATCCTGACGCATCTGTTTGTAGAACAAATTGATTACATTCTGAAAAATCAGGATACTGTAATACGGGATGAGATATTAAATTTGTTTTTAATAATTCGAACGATTTTTGACATTCCTTATCCCATATAAGGGTCATATTTTCCCGACGCAAGTTATTTAATGCATGTGCTTTTGTAGCAAAATTAGGTATAAATCTCCTGTAATAGTTCACAAAGGCAACAAATCGTTGAACTTCGTCGACTTTAGTAGGAACTGAGTAATTTTTAACAACCTCTATTTTATCGTAATCAGGTACTACCCCCTTTTCTGACATAATATGACTGAAATAAAGTAGTTCTTTCTGTAAGAAAATACACTTTTGAGGATTTAACTTCAGAATTACTTTACGTAACCTTTCGAAAATAGATTGTAAATTTTTTATATGACTGGGCAAATCCCGACTGAAACATACCAAATCATCTTGATAAACTAGGCATTTTTCGTAAGTTGACCCTGTCATCGCCATAGCCATCATACGAGAAAATCGATACCTCCAGTTTACACTACGCCAACTCGGATTTTGTAGGTTTACAGGAGAAGCTCTTAAAGAAAAAACATTGATAACTTTTTTATTATCACACCTATATTGATGATATTTTCAGGATGAATAAATAATTTGCTGTTACTTCTAACTGCATAACTGGATTTTAATTATTTTTAAAAGTTTTAAAATTAGCTATAGTTAGCGGAGTTTAAGACGGAAAAATGTCATTTGAGATTCCTCTACACTCCGCCAACTCACAGTTAGCGTAGTATATCTCGAAATATGAGAGAACTCTCAAAATCTTAATCAAACCCATACTAGAATACTATTAAGTATTAATTTTAAAGTACATCCAATAATAGAATTATTTTTGTGCTTCAACATATCTTGATAAAATGTCATATTATTTCTAAATTTAAAAAGTTAGCGTTTTGTAATCAGGAAAGTAATAAAATCACGCCCACAACACATACGTTTTGTTTGCACAAAATATGAATAAAATCATATGTTTTTCCAATATTTTATATTAAAATTTACAAAATTAGTCAAAACAATATTATTGTTAATAATAATAACATGTTACAAATATACTGAATTATCAAAATTATTTATAATTAATTTCATTTTTGGTAGTGGGAAATATACCTAGGTTGGAAATGAAAAAAAAGTTTTTATAGTTTTTATATCAGTAAATATAATATTTAACCCGTTATATAATCACTGTATAAACGTAACTGTTTAATAATATAAAGATCAATCAGCACAATTTGTGTGAACTAAACTAAATTTTTAATTAATACAAAACATTTAAAACAATCTCAGCTACAGTCAAGATTCCCATAAAATTAACATAAAATTCTTTTATGAAATAGTATACACGTGACTCAAACATTTTAAATTACAATAATCGCTTAAATTATTTAAAGTATTTACGAGATCAATCAGCATGTTTCACTCCATAACTATGAACTTACAAAACAATTATTCTGAATAAAAAAAAAAACTGAAATGGTTACGAAATAAGGAAGCAAGACACTGATTCAGATGACATCAATGCTCGTCTTCGCTTCCATCAAGTTCGTGGTCGACGTCTGCCACTGATAAATTCTTATAAAAATATGATAGGTATTTTTGAGGTACGATATTATTATCAGAGAAATAAACTAAATCTTTGTATTTAGCCCTATTTATTTTCAATCATTGGGTATGTGCTTTGTCTGGAAAAGGTTCTGAGCGAGATTGTCTCGTAATCTATTTGTTTAAAACATTGTATCTGCTGACTTTCTACATCACCAAAGCTGTATTTATAACGTAACATTCCTATATTTTCTGGATTAACCCCGATCTCTTTAACTTTATTCCAAGAAACCTTATCATTAGAAACACTTTTTTCCAATTTTTTTGTAAATACCCTTTTTAAAATCTAAGATCATATTTTGCTTTACTTCTACGACATTATACGGCTTATTTACTTTTGCCCATCGTACTAAGAATTAACATTCATCTGGCGAATAAATTTCTCTTCTTTTGGCTTATTTTTCGATCAGCGCATGCACCGAATCGCCTTCGTTTTGTGTATGTCCCTTCTCCATGAAGCGATGGTAAATTTTAATTTTCAGATTAATTGCCGCTAACAAGTAAATGTAGTAAACTATCCGGTTACGGTTTTGACCCCCGCAATTATCTGACCATAGATATATTTCAGTAACTCCCTTTGAAGACAAATTAGTCAAGAAATCATAAAGACAACTAGAGACTTCATTTGCCCATCTCCTTGCGGTTTGTTCGTCCCACAAGTAACAGAATGCTTCTTTATGCGCTATGTCATACACAGTAAAATTATATACGTTAAGCTTCAGTCTGTAATAATAAATACTAATGTTTCCATGTGGTGCGTTCAGTAGTACTTTCTGAAATGCCCCCCCCAACCCCCTTTTTCTTTTTTTGATCAAATTCTTTTTTCCCCAACACTTCCCTTTTTAAAAATAATACTCCTCTTCATTTTATAAATTTATTTTTTTTTTTAAAAAAGACCCCCAAAACAGACACTAAAAAAAAAAAAAAATAAAAAAACATTATTAATTTCATTTTTAAAGCGTAAGGCATTCTATACGTTTTTGAAAAATTCGGCTTAATATCGGATTTTACTTCAATTGTGTGTTGATAAATATCAGTGGTTGATAATTTGTCCCCTTCTAAATAAAAATATCGGAATATTTCGCACATAAATTTTGAATATTAACTTTTTCCTCTTTATTTAAATTATTTAATTTTAACTTTGACAATAATGATTTAACTCGCGATGCATTTTTCTCAGTCTTATCAAAGTTACAGATGTAATATTCTTTCGAGCTTTGTATATCAAGTTTTATTTCGGACACAGTTACGTCTTTTGTAGTCGTATTCAAAATTCGAACTGGTATTTTACCATTAATTGGGCTTACTAATGTACTAGCAATAAACACGCCCTCGCATATTTCCTTCGTACATACCACACATTCTTCTGTTAAACTAGCATTAATGTAGTGAATGGATTCTGATCTGGCAGGTGAAGATAATAAATTACTACACGAGTCTATTAATTGTAAACTTATTTGCTTAGATTCATACCCTGCGCCAATAATTTTAGCTTAGCAGACTGCGACAATCTGCTTTTCAAAACAAAGGAAATTAAATGTGTCTGTGACTCAGCATTGAGAACCGAACTGTAGTATTCTATACCATCGATTAGCTGTCGTAAATTGGAAAGTTCGTCATTCATTACTAGCAATAAGCTCAAAGTTACCTTAAGATCGAATATATCCATTGTTGGAAAACAGTTAGAAGTCTCTGAAAACGGACACAACTGAGTAATTTCCTTATACAAATTCTTAATATCCTCACAATATTTTTCTAAAAGAAGAACCTCATCCTCGCTTAAGCTTTCCTTATCAATACTTTCTATATAAGAATTATATCGCTCACTAATAAATTTCGCTTCATCTAGCTTTTTATGTGATATCTTACCCTGTCGCCTAGAGGGTCCTATTTTAATTAAATATTGTCTTATAACTAATAACTCATCATATAATTTCTTTAAAAAATGTTGCCATACGTTTAGTACTTTAAAATGAGTCACTTATCTAAAGAAAAATTATTCATAATTAAGCATCATAAAATATTAACATACCTGTATCAGCTTGGAACCCTTAATCCTCAGCATATTTTAGAAATTACTAAACTACTATATTTGTAATATACGAGTATACATGTACATTAACTATGATAACCGTTTTTTTAGTAATATATTAGGTAAATAATGCTATAGTCCAACAAATAATATCCGTTAACTTAGCCAACAACCCGATGAATAGTAAACGCATATATATATATATATATATATATATATATATATATATATATTTGTTTTAACAATTTTACACCTTATTGTCATCAATCTTACACTCGGGGCAAGTCTGTCGCCGTCGAAAGGAAAGCCGACGCACCCTGCTACCATCCAGCTCGAACTCTTGCCGTATCCAACGTAAATGACATTTCCTGTATATTCTGAATATTTCATACAATACTCCCAGAAATAAGCAGAGAACAATTATACATAACAATATGCTTGTTGTTTGCAGGTGGAATTTGAATTCTTCAATTGGCGCACTATTTGTGCCCCCAGCTGCATTTTGCGCAATAACAATATTTTCTTCTTTAGATTGTTGTTTCCCCATTTTTAAAGCACACTACCTGCACTCTACCGTCGCTGTTAAGCTTTTCAATAGATTAATTCTATTTATTCGATAAATATCTTGCATTGTCCAGAGAGCACGATGATTATATTTCACGGCCCATATATGAAAACGCGGTCGGCGACACGG